AAAGAAAGCCAAAAACCTGTCTGCTTCGAGTCTCTGGAGGCAATGAACCATAAACAACAGAACAAAGATGATTCCCTCTGTTTTCAATTCGTCTCTGTCAACACCAAACATGATAAGTTTGGCAGTAACTTATATTAAGCATGAATATGAGTTCCATTAGAATACAATATCATAACCTATATGAACCCTTAATAAGGATTTGTACAGTATCATAATTTGAATCTTCTATGTACATCAAATGTGAACAATTCTGCATTTTCTTTCAAAATATAGGCTGGATTATTACAATATGAACAAAAATAAATAAATAAATAAATAAATCTAATGGTGTACTTACCTTTATATTGTATATCTCATAACGTGAAAATGTGACGATGCAGTCACCAGTCCTAATGTTGGAAAAAGATCCAAGGGGAACATTTGATGGGACCAGAGGTGAAAGCCTCTCATAGTATTGAACCTAAAAGAAAAGAGAAAGGAAAGAAAAACGATAAACATTTATCCTCATTCAGGTTCACCAGTCACCACCAACTTCAAACTAATCTCCTATACAGTAAGGTCCGTTCATAAGAAAATATATGTATTTTATAGTTCAAATTCAATACATAAACTAAGTGTTTGCTGAAAAAAAAAAAAAAAAAAAAAANAAAAAAAAAAAAAAAAAAAAAATGGAAGAGTTGAAGTTTTTTAAGACGTGTTAAAGAAAATAATTCATTAAGTGAAAAACTGACCTCGACATGGTCATCAGTCACTTTAAGTAGGTCCTGTATTAGAGGAACAGCTGCTGGATCTCCACACAGGTGAAGCTCATCAGCAGATAATCCTAACAGAGCTCGAGTAAAGGAAAAACCCCTTGTTCTACAACCCAGCATCTGCAAGAGATGGTGAGAATGTAAATGCATATCTTTCTAGAGAAAAATAAAGAAAGAGAGAAAAAAGTACCTTTCAATAAAAATTTCTTGAATGCCAAGAGCTAAACATAAATTGTGAAATGCAAACCATGTGCAACCAACATCATAAAACCAGCACAACATAGATATATATATTTAAGAAAAAGAAACT